CTTAAAAAAAAAAAAAAAAGAAAAAAAAAAAATTTATTACAATTTTAAAAATCTACCTCATGCTAAACAAAATTGGGAGAACATGTTTTGGTGAAGATTCTCTACTAGGAAGATTTGCCAAACAGAAGGTGATCTTTATTACTTATTAAGATATATCATTGGGGCGGCCCCGTGGCACACTCGGGTGAGTGCAGCACTTGCGAGCACATCAGCGCTCCCGCCGCAGGTTTGGATCCTATATGGGGATGGCCGGTGCGCTCACTGGCTGAGCGTGGTGCAGGTGACACCAAGCCAAGGGTTACGATCTCCTTACTGGTCAAAAAAAAAAAAATTTACTACAATTTTAAAAATCTACCTCATGCTAAACAAAATTGGGAGAACATGTTTTGGTGAAGATTCTCTACTAGGAAGATTTGCCAAACAGAAGGTGATCTTTATTACTTATTAAGATATGTCATTGGGGCTGCCCCGTGATGCACTCAGGTGAGTGCAGCACTTGGGAGCCCAGCAGCGCTCCCTCTGCGGGTTCAGATCCTATATAGGAATGGCCGGTGCGCTCACTGGCTGAGTGCAGTGCGGGTGACACCAAGCCAAGGGTCGCGATCCCCTTACCAGTAAAAAAAAAAAGACAAAAGAAAAAAAAGATATATCATTTATTTAAAAAGCCCGTGTGCCTATATACCTGCTTACTTTTTCAGCAGAGAGATGAATCATTATTAGCATAAAATTATGATTGGGACATGTATGGTCTGGTGGCCTTTGTGGGAACATTCTTGTTCCAGTCTGTCCTGTTATGGACTCATTGAATGGCCATATATACACTCAGTCAACCAATATTTTATTGAGCACTCACTAGGTACCAGGCATTGTGTGGACTGGAGATACCCAGATAATTAACCCAGATACCCCCCCAACCTCAAAGAATCTACAGTCTAGACAAAGAAACACACATACTCAGAAATAATTGCAGCACAGTGTGATGAGTGCGACAGCAGGCTAAGAACAAAGGACTGCAGGTCCAGCCGGATTGGAACAAAGAAATGCTGCCTGAAGAAAGTAAAGAAGGCTTCTCAGAGGAGATAAGTGAAATGTGTCCTAAAGGATGATTAGGAATTTGGCTGGTGAAGTTAATTCTTATGGTCACAGTTTAATACTATCCTCATTGACTAGACTTGTAAAGCCAGTTTCTAGAGTCAAGTTCAAGGCAAACTAACAACTCCCAGACTTGATCTTTCTATTGCTTCATCTTGGTAATACCCCATGTTATTTGGTCTTAGGTGGCCATCTCTCACCTCACTGGAAATTGTCATCACTTCTTGTATCTCTGTAGAGTGAGGACCATGTCAGCTGGGTGGCACATTTAGAGGCAGAGGAGCCATGAAAATCAGCTTCAGAGGCCCAATTCCATGGAATTCTGTTACAGATGCACCTCTATGACACCTTCCTTTCCCTCCAGTCTTGTTCCAGCCATATAAATTGTACAAATGGGGCAGCTATGGAAGTAGAATCAGGCTTGCAATGTGACACTGCAGGTACCAGGTGGTGTGGTGTGATTACAGGGACACTGGAAAAGACCCCTGTGCCCAAAATATTTCCCCTACCTGCTCCTGATGTCTGGATTCTGTTAACAGTGCACAAATACTTTCATTCTCTGATTAATGTGCAGGCTAAACGTGTATATCCCTCCGTTGGGAGATGTATCACACTGCCAAATATATGCTAAAGTGCAAATCTGAATACAGAATTGACGGGGAGAAAGAGATGACACTAGGCAACTAGCGATGGTTTGGGAGGTAGCTTAGGGCATTATGTGTCTGAGAGTGAGAAGGAGATTAAGGTCCTGAAAATGAACTTATTAATTTATTCAATAAATATTATTGAGCATCAATGTCATGCCCTGACCTTCAGATGACACATATACATTGTATACATTCTATGTGAATGGGTATTTCTGGAATCATGCAATGCAGCAGTCCTATATCTATTATATAGCAGGTTTTGACATTTTACCTAAGGCCTACTTACAGCTAGGACTACAATTCTGATATCATCCAGTGGGACCACGGATCTTATCTTAGTTCTAATCCCCAAGAACATCATCTTCTGGCTCTTCCCAAGTGTTTCAGGGCCCCTGGTTTCACCCTTTATTGGTTACCGAAACCCCCCTCCCTCCTCCCTCTCCCCGCTCCCACCCAACAATTTCGGTAATGGGCCACAATAATCAACCTCATTGTATATCGACAAAATAAAATTTTTTTAAAAAATCATAAATATTGTAGATAAATACTGTAATGAAATGAGAAAATGTTTATGAGACAGTGTCAATTTAAAAAGGCAGAATACAAAAAGTATATATGCACAGAAAAAAAAAAAGGAAGGCTAGGCACTTAAATATTATTGACAGGGGTTTTCTCTGGGGGAGTAGAACCAAAGGTCATTTTAATTTTTTCCCTTTTATATATTTTTGAAATCGAACCCAAACTACTTTTGTAATAAGAATAAAACAAAATTTGGGCTAACCCCGTGGCTCACTCGGGAGAGTGCGGCACTAGGTGCGCCGAGGCCGCAGGTTTGGATCCTATATGGGGATGGCCGGTGAGCTCACTGGCTGAGCGTGGTGTGGGCAACACCAAGCCAAGGGTTACGATCCCCTTACCAATCACAAAAAAAAAAAAAAAGAATAAAACAAAATTTACTACAATTTTAAAAATCTACCTCATGCTAAACAAAATTGGGAGAACATGTTTTGGTGAAGATTCTCTACTAGGAAGATTTGCCAAACAGAAGGTGATCTTTATTACTTATTAAGATATATCATTTATTAAAAAAGCCCGTGTGCCTATATACCTACTTACTTTTTCAGCAGAGAGATGAATCATTATTAG